ATATCTCAGGCTATGTTACTAATCTGTACGCAACGGTTTTATAACCTGTTGCAAGACTTTTATTATTCAAAACTTTCGTTGACTAAATTTTATGCATGAAATAATTATTCGACAGAAAGTTCCTCTGCCCAAATAGTTACGTCTACTTCGGGCCATCTGAAAAGAAAAACTGATTAATCTTAATCCATACGGGCACAAGCTGCTCCATATTGCTTCAGAAAATTAAAAGTGCTTTGACACTTGTTTCATTTCAGATACAGTGGTTTCCACTAATGTAGAATCGTCGCAGGCACATAGCTTTAAAAGGTATGCTTCTGGTTCGCTAGTTTTTATGCGTTTTTTTGCATCTATGCAGTGTAGAAAATGCGCATTGACGAGGAGTTGTCTGTGTTTGTGTGTGCGAGCTGTGCGTCTGTACCGATTTTTCATCTCAAGACCTACAAAAGCTACAGGGCTGAAATTTGGGAATTTAATCTACATGTAGCCTCCCCCCCCCCATCTTCAACACGGGCTCTCTTACCCTCATGGTACCCACATACGGGCTCGTCAAAGTTTTTTTCGGGTAAGCTGCTAACTCGGAACTTTTTTATGTATGAACAAAGTGTAAAACAGTAAAAATGATAAAAGCAGCCGTCTGCTGAGCAGAACTGCACGAAACGCATGATCGCACTGGCTAGTGGTGCGTATCGTCATTTATTTTTTGCTTATCAGTCATTTCCACAGCACACTGTTTAGGAAAAGTGTGACGAGGAGTATCACGGAAAAGAAGAGTGGCAGTGAAGCCGAAAGTGATGTTGACTTAGATGCGACAATATTTGATTTCTAGGTCCGCTTTAAAAAGTGTATATTTTGGAAAATGACGTGTTCAGAAAGCTTCACGACCACCATCGTGAAGCCTGTCAGCCTTTGTGTGGTGCATTCCGCCTTCCGCGGTCTTCGTGCTCCACTTCTATATTGTCTTATCTGGTACTCTTGCACATTGGTGCACTCCAGTGGATATGCATAGCTGCCAGTGCGATTACCACTTACTGTGGCGCGATCAGTAAAGCGAGAAACAAATCTCATCCAACATGTTTCACTTTTTTTGGCCTGAGAATTTTATAAAT